CCCCCCTCCCCTCTCCCCGCTCCCCCAACTACCACCAATCATTAACAAACTTTTTTTGAACTATTCAGGATGAATCAGACGAAGACCATGAGCACAAAGTAAGAATAGAAGGCGAAGAACATCCTGAGAGACACGACAGGTTGAGAAGAAGAGACACGCCCCATTACCTCAAAGATAAAAGAATCAACCTAAAGGGAGATGAAGAGGACAAGGTTAAAGAGATACTCGCTAGAGCAAGTGAAGATGGAGCAACAAGTGAAGAAGGCGAGAATGAGAATGAAGGTAAGGGACAGAAGGTGGAGTGAGGGAACTTACAGTGTGTTATGCGTTGGGTAGGGGGTATGGGTAGTTAGGGTGGGTGGGGTGGGAGTTCTGAGAGCAAAACTCAAGTAAATGTGTGTACCTTGACGTCAAAGCAGCTCAATTTGGAGGACAGAACAAAAACATTTCAATCTCATGAGAATTGGAAACCTATTGTTACGTCCTCCAAACTGAGATGCATTTCGACGTGCTGCAAGGCGTCTATATGTGGGGGAGGATGTAGTAGATGTGGGACGAAATGTAATAGATGCTAGATAGTAGGTTGATGTTGAAAAAGGAAAAGCGGATAAATGGAGTTGCCAAAGATAAAAAGATAATGATTATTAYTGTTTCATTAGAAACACCGACGCAGCTCACACTAGTTTTTAGCTAGTTATATCTTCTWAAGATAAAAAGAGAAAGTTTAGTAGTGATAGTTCGTCTGGAGAATGTAGCATTGCCGTTTAATGTTATGGTAATGACAAAATTCATAAGTCAGTTAAAAGTAACTCCTGTTTTTACCGTACACACACATTTAAATCTCATTTAAATAGTTAATATGTTATTTATATGGCGGTTTTCGAAGATTAGGAAAGACGAAGAAAACAACTGATAAAGATATGATTTTTGGCAAGGAAAATTGCCCTTAACCTTGAATCTGTGCAGATATCTTCAAGTTAACAGTGAATTAATGCGAACTGACTTTACGAGTTTCTACTTGTCTGTTTTTATATCTATTTTATAAATTTTTACTTGAGTTTGAGATATGCGATTAATTCAAAGAATATTTACAGAAGCAGGTTTTTGATGCCCAATTGATTTTTGAATTTTAGCTACTATTYAGGGTTTTTTTTTTTTTTTTGGAGTCTATCCTCTTTCCTCGTTGTCATTGAATAATGACTGCTTGATTAATTCAAGATTTGAGGCTAATAAATAATTCAAAGCGTATCCCGAAACATGTCAGAGAGTTAGCCAAGATAGAACCATCAACCTTTCCAGCATTCAGGCTATCACGTTCAGCTAAGTCAACGTTCAAATCAACGCCATTAAACGCCATTAAATATATCTTGGACGAAGCTAGACGATGACTGTTGTCGCTTTGGTCGGTACATACGGACCTTTTACGGTGTATTGGACAGGTAAATGCTACAAATTTGCATCTGTTCATAAATTGCTACAAAACCTATATTATTGCTGTCTGAAAATGCAATTAGAATCCTAAATATTGTTTAAATTCTCCTTTATTGTTTGGACTGAATGTCGTTTTGGAAAATCCTCGCTTTCTGGTCTGACATTGAACCTGATCTCAAAAAAACGTTTGAGTACATTTGTTATGTTGTTATTTTCCCCTTCTACTACCTGTAGTTTACCTTTAAATATAAAATGTCATTCTGAGAATAGCATTAATCGAGATAACAAAATGATGCAGAACGTCTGTGCCTTCAGCTATGCTTTAATTTTCAAATTTATTCCTGATAAGGTTTCGGTCAATTTTTTAATCGAAAAAAACGTTTACACGGCTAAGATYAATTTTTTTTAAACCTTCAGTTTAAAGAGAAATTTCATTTTAATTTTCTGACGTTTTTGAGCTCAGTTTAAAAAAGAAAGTGAGGGAATAAGATGTAGTGTCTTTTCAAGCACCAAAGATAAATATTTGGCGTTTCAGAAGATTAGATTCTCATCCTTTAGTGTCAAAAATCAGTGTACTTGTATAAACCAGCTCAGTCATTCGAGTTAAAAACTACATATAAAGACGAGTATGGTGAACTAAAACCTGSCTWAGCTTTGTTTTATTATTTTTATGGTCTTCCAAAGGCTTTCTTTAGTTTTTTACTTATTATTTTTARCTTCTTTGAAGTCAAAGTCCGGTTATGATTCTGGCTTTTTCTTACAGTAAATATTCCACCATTGTTGTGTTGACGTCTCGCTGTTTCTCGATATTCATTCTTCTCAATATGAATATCGTTAATGGTATCTAGTGTTTTTCTAGATACTTAAAGGCCTGACTAAACTGCCATTTTTCCTACCTGTAAAGTGTAAACATATGAAGAAAAATACTTCTTTTTTTCGCTAAGTATCTTGAGGGAAAAAAAGCGGCTAGTTGCATTGGCAAGTGAAGGACATGTTGCTAGAGTMGCTTCTTTCAATTTTTATGTTCTTACTCGTCTCTCAATCTTCAGCTTAGTTTAAGACAAGTTTTGATAAAAAACAAGATAAAATTTTCAAATATTTTCAAAAACCCTCGGCTTAGACGAAACCTCGAGGGATGAATATTTACGAAGTCTTAGGATTATTATAAACCTCGTAAAGATTTTCCATAAACCTTGGCTTAAAACCACAGACTTCAAAACAAAATGGTGGTCTTCTTCAATACTGGTTGCTAAGTCATAATAAGCACCATAGTTTTAAGAACAAAAGATATTCATAGGAAACTTCAAAATAACACGACTTTGGTTTGGACGCCATGTTTTAGAAACCTTCTGGTCGCGTAGATATCTGAGCTTTTTTCTAAATGTTCTTGAAATGTTCTTAATATAAAAATTATGTAAAAGAAAACTGTTAGTAGCGTTTGTAGAGATTTAAATCACTCATAATATTCGCGATTTTTGTCAACCTTTTTTATTTAAGTCATATAAAACTACCTATTATCTAACAGAACTTCGTATCSTAAAGTATCATAAATTATATTCGTTTATAAATATGCAGTAGGGTCGTCTGATTGTGCTGAAGTGCCATTTTTTTCCATTTCCTAGTTTGACCAGCATGTTTCTATCTTTCTTTCTTCAAAATCCAATTTCGTTCTATTTGTTTTTGCTATCTCACAGTCAGTTTTCTACTGATCTAGACCGCTAGTTTTTGTTTTTTATCTGCATTATTCATTTCAATTTTTTGTTGATTTTTTTTCACACGAAGTTAGTTGGGAAGGTGTAATTTCGTTATTTAATACTTTATTTCTTTTCTTCTTATGTGATAAGTAGAAACGTTTTTTCTTTTTCTATTTTCATTGCCCTTTGATTCAGTTTCATTCGTTTCTTAGTGAGTTATTGTTCGACTTTTCTATCCCAATCCTTCCCACTTTCTTCCCATTTTTCGGCCTCACAATTCTTCCTACTCTTTCTCATATCTTTTCTGAAGTTCTTGTGGAGGGAGGAAAAACTGAGAACCATGTAACCCCCTAAGCCTCGCTTTGATRTCTGACCTCTCGCTTTTGTTCTACAGAGGGCCCTAAGCTCAAGAAAAAGCTTTTCCAAGATGAGGACGAGGTTAAGGAGGATGAAGAACAACAGATGGTAACAGTAACCAAAGTAATAGAAGAGGTAATAAAACTCATTCTTGCTGTCTGTCTGTGCGTCTGTCTGTCTGTACTTTCTTCTTTCCGTCTCTCCTTCTGTTCGTGCGTCTGTTTCTATGACACATTTCAGAGCTATAAATTCAATTTCTCATTGAAAAGTTATTAATGCYTCTGTAGCCATTTTGAAAAGCAACCAAGCCCTTGTGAATGAAAATGAGGCTACTAAGTTAAAAGACACGTTGCATGCTTATCCCAAGTAGCCCAACCCCTCTATAGATCGTGCTCCGTTTTACCACAGGCAACCCATATGTCGGTGCACTAACGAATTTCTTGTCTGTTTTCRACAGATCGAATACACATTACACAGAGACACCAAAGGGCTTGGTATTAACATTGCTGGAGGGAAAGGATCCACACCTTATAAGGAGAACGATGAGGTTAGCTAGGATTTTTCATCATCATCAATATTTCCCATCCACTGTTGCTGGGTGCCCAGGATTATTTCCAACATGAGCGCGGCAATCGTGTTTTATCCTGCATTTCYTTTTGCAATTGTATTTTTGTATTTCCTATTCTTATCTTTATATTTGCTGTTAAAACGTTGCTTTATTCATATTTTTCTCATTTCCCCCCTCTTTTTCAGTCAATCTTCATTTCCAAAATCTCAGAGAACGGACCRGCTGGTAAAGATAAAATTTTGAACGTTGGCGATAAGATATTGAAAGTAAGTTATTATTAGTGTATGAACATGTACAACATCTCCAGTAGCAATCCCAGATGTCGTTGCATGAACCAATTCTCCCCGGTCTCCCATTCGTTATCAAAAGGCTTAGTTAAACTTATGAGAAATGTAAAATTAAAAATTAGTATGAAGGAGAGCTCGGCATCTGCGATGAGTTCTCGGGAAGCATTGGTGGTGTAGCGRTGATTGCGYTTGCCTCTCATCAGTGCAACCCGAGTGCGATTTCCAGACTCGTATGTAAGTAGAGTTTCTGATTCGTTYTCTCCTGTGCTTCGAGGTAAGTATATTGTTTCAGATGGAATAAAAATAGAATAAATACTAAAAATAGAATAAATAAATATTATTAATCCTACTTTAGACTGTCACTATGACCCACAATGCACCTCGGTTTCGGAATGCACTAATCAGTATGCAGTATTCAGTATTCAACCTTTTTGGAAATAGCTGTATACCATAATCATTCCACTTCTTGTTTTAACTGTTAAATCTATTTTCCTTGCCAGGTGAATGGTACGGACATTAGTCACGCTACACACCACGAAGCAGTCAACGTACTTAAATCAACAGGTAAAGACATCACCCTGTTAGTGGTACGAGAACGGCAAGAAATCGAGAAGAAAACGGTCCCCAAGTCACCTGGCACGAGCATCACTCCAGAAAAACCGAAAAAAGAGGTGATAGAACCTGTACAAGAAGTACACGAAGTGAATGGCGTACATCAAGCACCTGAACTGGAATTAGAATCACCTAAGAATGAGGTAATTGATGGTGGGAATCGTATATGACTTTGAAAAACGTTAAGGTACGGACGTTCGGGCCCTTGATCGTGAAGGTGCTGTGTCACGACATCTTGATCAGCAATAAATTTGCTGTGATTGGTGTAACTGATGCTGATGTTACCGTGACCGTTCTGTGTCACAACATTCTGATCAGCAATAAATTTGCTTTAATTGGTGTTACTGATGCTGATGTTACCGTGACCGTGACGCTTCTGTGTCACGACATTCAGATCAGAAGAAGTTTAATCAGTCTATTTCTTTATTTATAAACGAAGGTCGAAGAACCTGCTAAAGAGGAGCCAAAGAAAGTTGGAGTTCGTTTTGCTGCTGAACCCGAGATGGAGGAGATTGAGACGAGACCCGAGGTAAACCAACGTAAACCAACAAAGAAAGAAAATCAATTAAACTATTTTCTGTGTGAGAATAAGAATATTTTGGCCACAAGAGGTCGAAAGGAAGCACGGGGAATGTGTGCTAACTGTGCTGTAGATCCCTGATCAACATATTAAAGTCTCACCACACTCCCCACATGTCCATAATGACGGCATCATCATGAACTGTCTTTTTGGCCTCCGTTGTTTAAATTTATTACAGTCAGAGTTAGCTTTGAACAAGGGAAGCCAAAATATTAGCTTTTAAAAGTTAGCGTGCAGCTCGTTCTAACTATATAAATAAGGTATTTTGTAAGATTTTTATTATGAAATGCTCAACCAGAGAACAACATATGTAGACACTTGACTCAACACTTATGATCTGTGTGTGTGTTTTTTTCTTTCTTAGAGAGTAACTGTAACGTTAAAGCGTGGTGGAGACAAGGGACTGGGCTTCAGTATTGCTGGTGGGCGTGGCTCGACTCCATTCAAAGATGGCGACCCTGTGAGTACAACATATGATGCTATTTTAATAGAGCCTTATCATGGAGCAGATTTCGTATGTGTGGTAAACGATACGGACATTCGGTAGCCATACTGTATTTTACCGTATCCGTAACCGTCGCCTTGATAGCTCAGATGGTCGATCTGTTGTGCAGGAGTACGTTGGTTCAAGCCTCTGCCGGGCAATAAGGTGGATGTAAAAGACCCACTGAAGACGCTGGTGACGACCATCTTCAGTGCCCGTGCTAACACCACAGGACCCATAGTAATTGGCTATGCTGTTGTGGTGTCCCTGCCTTCACGGAAAAATAAAAAATAAATAAATATCTACTCGTTGTGGTTGAATGAATTATTGGAAGACAATGGGAAGCCATTTCCATGATACGGCATGTCGTACCGTACAAGTCATATGGCATGTCGTACCGTGCTGTAAGTCATACGGCATGTCGTACCGTGTAATTAGTGCTGTAAGTCATTGCCACTCATACGAAAWCCGCTCCAATAAGCCTTTTGCTTCTGTAATCGTAATCTTCCTTTTAAAGTYCTGATGTTATTTGTTCTTTTTCCAGGGTATTTTCATTTCTAAGATAGCAACAGATGGCATCGCAGAAAGGGACGGACGACTAAAACTGGGCGACAAAATATTATCGGTATGTCAGTCATGTCACCTCTTTTTGTTGTTTCTGTGGCGGTTGTTGCTGCTTTTGTTCTTGCCGATATYTTTGCTGTTGCAGATTTTTGATGCGCTTCTTGTTGTTGTTGCCGTAGTTGTTGTTACTGTTGCCATTGTTATTGACATGTGTTGTTAACGTTGTTGTTGGAGTCGCTGCCTTTTGATGCTGTTATTGTTGTTGTTGACCTTAATGATGATGTTGCTGTTGTTGTTTTCGTTGTTTTTGCTGCTTTTTGATGCTATTATTATTGTTGTTGACATCGTCCCTCAAAAGAGGTAACTAAAGAAGTACACATCCCCAAAACAAAGACAAACCATACCAGTCTGATACAGCAATGATACGCGTGTAACTAATAGATTCTATTAATGAATTCAGATCAACAGCAAAGACATGAGAAGCTGCCGGCACGAGGACGCCGTTGCAATGCTAACGGGTGGTCTGTCTTACGTCACACTCATCGTCTATCGTGAAAAAGTCATAAATAAGAAAATGACCCCTCTATCCAAATTACAGGACCAGTCTAGTGTAAATAAGAAACTCTTGATTACAAAGGAGGTAGGCCGTTTGTTTCTGAATTTAAGGCACCGTTTATTTTCTACGGGCATGTGGGGGGGGAGGGGGGGATTTTGTGAATTGTAAGTAAAAAAATCACCCCTTTCCACCCTGAATTTTTTTGCGTGGCTCCTGTTAAATCTTCTATATAACTAATTATTTTTTGGGGTGCCCCCTCCCCTCCCCTCCCCTCTTAACCCTTGAATGCCTCAAATTGAGAAGTCTCAGGGAACGTGGTTGTAAAGCCTGATACTGATGAGTTTGTTTTATGTCGTAGGAAGTGGTAAACCACCTTGAAAATGGCAAGGACTTAGAGGATAGCAAACCCCTATGTGAAATAGAGGTATGAAATCTGTAAGAATTTATAGAAAAAATGTGATGTGTTGCTGGCTAATGGCTGGATCTGGCGTGGTACAAAAAGTTAGATTGCTAATATTGCCTTGCGCTTCACGATCGTCATGCGTACCCCTTCCCCTAGGCTTAGACGAGCTGATATCTAATGCGTTATTGGTGCTTGTGAACATTCCGATCATAAAGGGTGTATCCCCTCATAAAGAAAATCCTGGAAAGCTCTTCATCTTATCACCGGGACACTGAATTGTGGAACACCAGGGCGCCCTGTGTAAGACGTTTCTAAAAGGTTATCAAGTATTTGCCTGCTTGAGAAAGTCTAGGGATAATAGAGCGAGGTGGAAGAGTATGTCATCGTCATCATTTGTGTTTTATCCGTTTATCATCAGTATTTTCATCGTCATCACTATCACTAGTATCATCATCACGACCAACGCTATCATCATCGCCTGACATCCTATAATCATCATCATCACGACCAACACTATCAACAACACCGTCATCACCTGACATCCTATAATCATCATCA